CATTGAAAGTATATTATAAAAGTATATTAATAGCATATATCAATCTATCAACATTTATTATTAACAAACACATTATCTTGCTTTAAAAATATAGGAACAACATCTCTAGTTATTTATCTCATAAAATCAAAAGTATTCTATATTGAAATGGGTACAGGAATGAATTCATGAGCATTATCATAATATTAATAACACTGGGAGGGAGAAGGAGTGATACATGACAGCATATCCAGACTAAAGAAAGTAAGCAAAGACATGAATTAGGCTAATTCTACCTCGAAGGAAACCTGTCATGGTCGTATTGAATATCTTAAATAAGCAAAAAAAAATTGGAAAAATATATGTTAGACAATGGTTTTTAAATATGGGGTCACAGGCTAGAGATCACAGAAAAAGGAGAAACAAGTGCATTAAGCTACATCATTTCTACGTTTGCTGTTCAGACAGTTTTCAGGGCTCTGTGTAACAAGGGTACCCAAGAGGGGGCTGAGGGCTCTCTGGGTTGAAAAGATAGTGTTGGTGCTATGGGAGCGCCGATGGCTGGAACACATGGATCAAATACCACTGGCCCTTTCAGGTCCTGATGCTCTCTCCATTTCCAGCTGCAAAGAGAACAAGCTGCAGAGATCTACAGAGGGTACCACTGCCCTTCCATCACCAAGAGCACGGATGTGGGAAAACTACCTGCGGCTGGGGGTGAGGGAGAGTCCTAAAGGAGGAAGCTGAAACATTCCCCAAAGTCACAAACAGCCAGAGATAGTAGGATTTCTTCACCAACCGAAGTGAACAATTTATACATAGGCACTGTACAGACCACTCAATCCACATGAATAAGCGGGTCTGGTCGAAAACATGTATGCTGTGGTGGTTAAGCCATCAAATTGATTGTCTTGGGAGCCACGTAAGGGATTAGCAAAGCACTCTTCTGGATGTGTCTAGACGGGTAATGGAGCATGACTGTGGGAACCACTTATAGTTCCTGGCCCCCTCTTCTCTGGCACTGCTGCCCTGCTCTGCCTCTTGGCCGCCATAACTAAGCTGCTTTGCTTCACTACACCTTTCCAACCAACTATGAACTGAATCCCCCAAAACCATGAAACATCTGAACTTATCCTTAAACTTGTGGGTCTCAAATATTGTCTTCGCGATAGAAAAGCTAATAAATCTGCAAATTTTATCATGTTTTTATTAACATTAGCCAACATTTGTTCTTCAGCTGGTGAGTAGGTAAGTGAACCGTGGTTTGGCAATATGAGGGAATACTACCCAACAGTAAAACAAAAAAGACACTACTGCTACACATAGAAACTCATTAATCTGTACGATTCCTAAGTTAATAATCATAGCAAAAATGAATGAAATAAAACAGAAAAGATACTACTGCTGCAATCAATCAAAAGCACAGATGAATATCAAATCCATTTTGCTAATTAAACAAAACCAAACTCAAGAGACTACACAGTGTATAATCCATCTACATGCCATTCTGGAACATCAGGGGTAGAAATCCAATCAAGTGTCGGGGTCAGGTGTGAGGTGTACGAAGTTTTGACCACAAAATGACACAAAGAATTTAGGGAGACTCGAACTCTTTTGTGTCTTGAGCTTTATAATGGTTCTTCCATTGTGTATGCTTGTTAAAATTTAGTGAACGGCTACGGCTGGATGTGGTGGCACATGCCCATAATCCCATCACTCAGGAGGCTGAGGCAGGAGGATCGCCATGAGTTTGAGGCCAGCATGGGTTACATAGTGAGTTTAAGACCAGCCTGAACTACATAGTGAGACCCTGTCTCAAAACAACAAGAACAACAAAAACAACAACAACAAAATTGGTGAACTATACACTAAAATGTGGATTTTGTTATATTTAAATTAATCTTTGACATAAAAGTGAAAAAAACAGTTTATATCCGATGACTTGGAGAAATTGCCATGGGAAATCTTTAGTGACAAGATAATAAAATAAGGTGGGTGTAGTGGCACATGCCTATAATCCCAACACTCAGGAGGCGGAGGCAGGAGAATTGCCATTAGTTCAAAACCAGCCTGAACTACATAACATAGTGAAACTCTGTCTTCTAAAATCAAGAGCAAACAAACAGAAGATGGGAAAACATTTTGTATCTGAATACATATGATGTATACTTTTGCATATGATCATATGAGCATACACAAAAGTAGAAGGTAAGCACATGAGCTGTCTTGTTTAGACGTTTAACAAAGTAATTAGGTCTAAGAAAATAGAAATCAAGGGGAAAAAATCAAGACTTCATTTTAAGAAAACACACACATACCACCTAATATCAATCCATTCAGCTTTCAAGTAAAATCATGTGTGGGAGGATCTATATAAAGAAAAACCACTGGAGATTAGTTTTAAAAGCTCAACAGACTTGATGCTCTAACAACTAAATAGATGAGCACTTCATTGCCTTAGATATGGGAACGATCAGACTCCACTGCACTCCCCTCAAAATGGCCACTTCACTCCCTTTCTCTTCCTGGTTTTGATTTTTCTCTCCCTCATCTGTGATTTGAAACCACTACCAATTATCTTAAGATTTGAAAATGGTAACTGTGGGTTAACAAGTGTTGCCTCAATGACTCAGCTATCTCTATAATAAAATTTATA